CCAGGATTCCCACAAAAGAACTCTGGCCGAACGCGAGGATTGGCACCAAAAGCAAGAGGAGTTGTACCATGTGCCGTGAACGCTGCCATCAACTGAGTTTGGTTGTTCAATTGCAAGCGCATAGCATCAAGCAATTGAACCAACTGCTGCTCTAGAGTCAAAGGAGGAGATTGCGGATCGGCCATGAAAATGAATGAGAAAGAAAGAGTAAAAGAAGAGAAATGACAAAAAGCTAGAAAGAAATGGTAGATCTAGACAATGCAAAAAGCTAGATCTAAACCAAAATCCTAAAAGGAAAGAACAAAAGAAAGGAAATGGAAAAAGTTAGATCTAGACAATGCAAAAGCTAGATCTAAACCGAAATCCCACATCCAAGCACTCCCCAGGGACAATCAAAGGTGCCCCTCAACTCCACCAATGTGAGTGCATGGAATATAGAAAGGGAATACAGAAATGTGCATATCAATTAACCCAAAAACCCTAGCTTATATACAGGAGCGAGTGGTCCGGATTGAAACCAATCCGACGGCTACCAAAATCCACTACGCTAATATTAGTATACGGCATCGTAGCCGTACACTTGGCCCTCACACCACTAATTTAACTAAGATATCTGCCACTTTAAAATTTTGTTCCCTAACTATCTTATATATTATTTATATTGCAAAATTAGTGTTAAAATAACCACAACAATAAATTAATGGTTCTAATATAATAACTTGATAGCCTCAAAATTAGAATGTTAATATCTTTCTATTCAATTTTTTGCTTGTATTTATGGAAAAATTTATTATTGCAATTATTACTATATTTAAACCACGAATTTGTAAATGTGTTACATAAAAGTGTAGCTTTAGTGGAAGGGCATATATTTTCTGAGTTAGCTAATTAACATTAAATGACACTTGTAGGAGAAGTAAACAACATCCATTGAAAGTATTCTTGATTATATTTATTTTATATTTATCTAAATATAGTAAATTTTAAAATAAATATTAACTTATTTTTGCTATATTCCAGATCTTATGGTTGAACAGCTAAATTTTTTATTAATAAACTACAATTACAACTGAATTACATTTTTTATTTGTGGTTAATCAGCTAACATATCTGTTTTATCATCCTCTTCTACATCACTGATGCAAAAAAGTAAAATGACTATAAGTCATGAAAGTAAAGACTTACCTGTCATGTGCTTCTTATTTTGTGATGAATGTAAGTTGGTCTCTTAGAATTCTTTCCCATGGCACTTTCCTTGACACTTCTCTGATAGTTGGCAGAAGAAACTGTTGAATTTTCCAGGTTCCTGTAGTGGCAGAAATGTAAAGGAGGAGTTCTAAAGCAACAAAAACCAAAACTTGGAAAAACACTCACTTCTTGCATCACATAAATGCAAGGTATGAAGAAGATCATCTTCTGGAGCATCGTAAAAGAAAAGACTTACAACAAGGCAATGTCATGTCTTCAGAAAGGTGCTTTCCCAGCACAACGAGCCAACAAAGCTTCGAAGTCCTGAACTGGATTAATGCCACCCACTTCCTCAACTTGAAGCCCAAATGATAGAATACTGATGGAAGTGTTTGCTTCTTTTGCATCTGGCTTGTCTCAGTTCTATCTTTCCAAATACTTCTCTGAGCTGTAAAGAAATAATACATTACCTGCACATGCACTAAAGTAAACTGGCTGCAAAGTTTTTCCCACCTTTTTCATCAAACTTGGTTCCACCATCTACTTTTGTGTGTCATCCAAAGACACTGCTTTAATAAGCAAAAGTTATAAACCCGATCTTCAGAACAACATCAACATCATCATCATCATCATCAGGAGCAGTTTCCCAAACTGCCACAGCCGTCGTTCAAGGGAGGGTTGGTTGACATGGTTGTCAGAAAATTTTTTTCGGATGTCCTGAGCAGCACTTGAGTGTTCATTGGTTGAGTGAGGAATTTAACATGTGTTCAGTGGCAACGCGTTTCTCCCAAATTGGAGGCAGATGCTCACGGCCGTCCGATCCCGTGCATGGTAAAATTTTCTTGATCTTCAAACAACAAGAGGCAGTGCTGGTTCTGGCGAGTTTCGAACTCGCGCTACTTTCATGACTCCTTTTCTTACTTTCAGAGTGGAACCATGATACTTGATCAAAGTCCCTTTCCGCGGGACATTTGCTGGAATCGATCAAAGCTCTAAAAACGTTGCACCGACGATCAATCTTGATACAAAAATCCAAGTTTTAAATCCCCATGGACAAGGGCACGGCACGAGCCACAGGCATGATTTTTGCCATTCTACACGAAAGATCCACCTCTGCAAAAGGATGTTGGAGATCATCTCTCGCTGCCAGAGCCTAAATCGAAGGTGCCATTGGAAAGAAGGCGCTGGTCGTCTGGGCTTTGGACAATCCAATCACTGTAGATGCCTGTGTGGAAATCAAGCTTGCCTCTGGATGTCCATACGAGAGTGGTTCTTTAAGATGTACAGGTTGTAAAGCATCAGTATTAACAAGAAGCTCTCTCCTTTTTCTGTGCCCAACTAATTCTACATTACAGTTTTAATGTACTACTTTAGGATGAGTCATCCCAACCATCACAAGAGCCCCTCAAGGAAGTACATCAGTGCTGGTTTTATTCCCTTTTATTTCTGTGATTTCTACTGCACACGAAGGTTCACACATTCTTTGGACTTCCCGCTGCAATCAAAACCTGTGCACGCTGCCAGCGGGCCTCTTGAACCATGGAGGTGATCTTGTATACCAAATCAATTACATCACGTACTATGAGGACGCTGTTGGCCTGGCACGGAAGTAAACAGCTGTTTTGGAGTTTGAGAAGGTAATGGCCTTCAAGCACTCCATCTCAGGGAACTGCTCGTTCACAATTGTAAAGCAGTGAAGGGTTTTGTTTCAAAGGGTCAATTGTATGGATTTCTGAGAATACTCAAAATTATTATAGTTTATATAAATTTATTCTTCAACTAAATAATAATTATATTCACATAAAAACCTCAAAGTAAACAAACTCAAACCACTTTCCAGATTCTTAGACGTTGATTGCTGCAAATGATTGAAGCGGAATCTTGCAAGATTCTACAAATGGCAAAAATTTAAGGAGATCTCGCGTCAACATCGCCGTGCTTCCTCCACAGCGAGCTCGCAGATCTCCAACGGCGAACACCAACGTACCAGCCTAGTTGGATCCAAATCCTGAGGTAGATGTTGGTCCCGGCCAGAGACTTGTTGTTCTTCATGAAAGGCAGGCCCATGTTGAACGCCCAGATCACGTAGTCCTCCTTGGTGACGCTTTCCCTGTCCGCCCTGAACTTGCGAGTGAAATGCTTGGCCAGGTCCTTGAATAGCTCTTTGTCTATCTGGGGCGTCAGAGAGACGATCGTAAAGATCATACACAAGGCTTTGTTGATGATCCTCCTGTCAGGGAATCCAAGTTAGATGCTGGAAGGAATCGTTTCCATTGTCATACATCCGAAGGTATAGAGTCTTTTCAGGGAGTGTGGGGATGGCAATTAGGAACGGCTCCTTGTGGTCTCTGCAAGAAGGAGAAGATTCAGTTCCAGTAAGATATTGTCAAGAACGACAAGGAACTTACGGATCCTCGTACAGGAGGAGTGCTGCGTTGCTGCTGCTGCTAGCCGCGGGAATGTTGATACTGTCCCTAGCAGCGGGATTGCTGGCACCTCCGCCACTGCTCTTCCCGGGATTGCTGGTACTGCCGCTAGCGGGATCGCTCTTACTGCCGCCACCACTGGTCTTCGCGGGATTGCTTGTAATGCCGCTAGAGGGATCACTTTGATTGCCGCCACCACTGCTCTTGGCGGGATCGCTTTTACTGCCGCCACCACTATTCTTCTTTTTCGCGCCTTTCTTCCTGGAAAAAAACATTATACGATCTAGAGGACCACAGTTTAAAACGAACAAGAGGCCGGAAGGAAGAGGCAAAGAGCCAGGAAGGCAAAGGGACGGGAGGAGGATTTGATACCGAGCCGCATTCCGATATTTCAAATGACGGATTCTCATATCGGGAGGCATCCCCCGTGCTGCCCGATCAAATCTGTCCGATAGAACGATTATAGCAAATGCGAGCATTGATTCTAGCTTTGCGCATGCCGATCGGCTGAGGGAAGGCAAGAATCTGGCAAGCTTCATGGAGCGCAAGAATCTGCTCGGAAAGGAATGGTAGAGAAAATTTCCAGAGTACATCGCAGGAAGACATCGATGAAATCTAACCTTCTGCCCTTCCCCATCCCGTCCAAAAAGACACGAGCTTGGAGGAACCTTCAGATTTAATATACGCTTCGCTCCTTTGATATCTAGCATTCTTTTCTGTACTGTGCACGAAGAGGCATCTTGTGCCATGCACCCCAAAGTGGGCATTTGCTGGAATCGCTTTCCAACACTGGAGTTTGACAGTCAAAAATAAACACTGACTGGAATATTTTATATATTTATAAAAAATTCTTCACTAAAGAAGTCATGAAAAAGCATAATCTAACACAAATAAATTTAGTGGCTCTATCATTTCCCAAAAGGCAAAGAGAAATTTTTGGTTTCATGAACCATGACATTCTGAGGCATTTGCTGGATTCTTTTCGAGCTCTAGAACACTTAAAATATTCATAAAAAATTCATCACCAAAACCATCAATGCAGTGATCATGTACCTCACCCAACAACAATCGAGTGACCTTTTACGTACTCCATTTTGAAGGGCTGAAAAAATCGAATCTTCCTCAATGGTTCCAGCGAGTTTCGAACTCGCGACCTTTTGCGTGTAAAGCAAACGTGATGACCACTACACTATGGAACCATGATGTTGCTTGTAAGCAAGGTTTTCCCGCTAAGTGCTAGCTAAGCAGCGGCGCTAACAAAGTCTTCCAACCATGTGAGATTTAAGTGTCGGTGGGGTAAAGGAGAAAGAATGCGCGTTATTTGGATCATGCCTTTAACCGAGCCTGCGACAGAGATAAAATAGATAAAAAAGGAAGAGGACACGTAGCAATATAAAAGCTACAGCGCTGTTTACTGTTCTTCCCTCGCTATCTTTTGATCCGCTCGTCCATCGCTTAGCGTCTTGATCTCGAGGTAAGCAAACGCCCGGATCGCGCAGTCGCGATTCGCGAGTGCCCGCCTTGGGGGTCAATTGGAGGTCTAAATCGGCGGATTTGGCAGGGATTTCGGGCAATGGCGTTCATTCTCCTCCATGGAACCCTCCATGCCACGATCTACGAGGCCTCGGACCTGGAGCACGATCACAGCGCCGGGGGTTTCTTCAATAAGGTGTGCTATCTCGATCGATCTAGAGCTAATTTGCTGCGGCTGTGATCTAGGCCTTAGCCAGATCCCAAATCTGGTCCAAGATTTCTTCTTCTTTGGCACATTTCTTTGGAGTCCTTGCGCTATTGATCATCCTTTTTTTCCCTTGCTCCAGATTATCGGAGGAATCACTGGCGATGGCTCACACAAGTTCTATGCCACTGTCGATCTGGAGAAGACTCGCGTGGGCCGGACGCGCATGATTGGAAAGGGCGAGTCATGGAACGAGAGCTTCCACATTTACTGCGCACACAATGTTTCCAAGGTGGTGGTGACCATCAAGGACGACAAGGCCATCGGGGCGGTGCTCCTGGGCCGAGCTAGCATCGAGGTCTCGGAGCTCCTCAGCGGCGAGACTGTGGAGAACTGGTATGATCTCTACGACGACAACGGTGAGAAACGTGGCGACTCCAAGGTCCGGATCAAGCTCCAGTTCCACGAGGCCACCAACGATCCTCGCTTTGGCCGAGGACTTTGCGATGGAAGGAAGTTCCAGGGGGTGCCTTTCACGTACTGCCAGCAGCGGAAGGGATGCAAGGTGACGCTCTACCAGGACGCTCATATGACCGAGAACTTCCTGCCCGATATCAAGCTCGCGGGTGGTGGGAAGCATGCCGAGACCAGGTGCTGGGAGGACGTCTTTGAAGCTCTCACCAATGCCAAGCACCTCATCTATATCACCGGCTGGTCCGTCTACACCGAGATCAAGCTCATCCGAGATCCCGAGAGGCAAATCCCCGGCAGCTCTGGCGTCACTCTCGGCGAGCTTCTCAAGAGGAAAGCCGAGGAGGGAGTTCGTGTGCTCATGCTGGTGTGGGACGACAGGACGTCGATTCCCATCGTCAGGATGGACGGGCTCATGGCAACTCACGACCAGGAAACTCTCGACTACTTCAGGGGCACGCAGGTCAAGTGCTTGCTGTGTCCGCGCAATCCAGACGACGGCCTGAGCGTGGTGCAAGAGTTCCAGATCGGCACCATGTTCACTCACCACCAGAAGACCATCATTGTCGATGCTCCTCTCCCGGGAGCTCAGGGTGATTCGCAGCAGCGAAGAATTGTCAGCTTCGTGGGAGGGATCGACCTCTGCGATGGACGCTACGACAACCAGTACCACTCGCTCTTCCGGACGCTCGATTCCTACCATGGTGACGACTTCCACCAGCCAAATTTCCAGACCGCGAGCATCAAGAAGGGAGGGCCGAGAGAGCCGTGGCATGACATCCATTCCAAGCTCGAGGGGCCGGTTGCCTGGGACGTCCTCCACAACTTCGAGCAGCGGTGGCTGAAGCAGGCGGACGAGAAGGACTTGCTGCTGCCAATAAGAGAAGTCAGCGACATCGAGCCCCCGGCCGAGGTGACTTTCCGGGACGATCCCTCGACATGGAACGTTCAGCTGTTCCGGTCTATCGACGGTGGTGCCGCGGCAAACTTCCCCGAGGATCCAGAGCTCGCGGCCAAGGCTGGGCTTGTGAGCGGCAAAGACAGCACCATCGACCGCAGCATCCAGGACGCCTACATTCATGCCATCCGGCGAGCAAAGGACTTCATCTACATCGAGAACCAGTACTTCCTTGGGAGCTCGTTTGCGTGGGACACTGACACCGACGCCGGTGCGTACCACTTGATCGCCAGAGAGCTGGCTCTCAAAGTCGTGAACAAGATCGAGCAGGGCGAGCGGTTCGTCATCTACGTGGTGGTTCCAATGTGGCCTGAGGGACTCCCCGAGAGTGGACAGGTGCTCGCCATCCTCGACTGGCAGAAGAAGACGCTGGACATGATGTACAGGTCGATTGCGCAGGCTTTGGACGCCAAGGGGATCACCGACGAGAGTCCAAAGGACTACCTCACTTTCTTCTGCCTGGGAAACCGAGAGACGCCGCAAGACGGCGACTACGTCCCGCCGGAGGCCATCGAGGAGGAGGCAACGAACTACAAGGGAGCACAGGAGCACAGGAGGTTCATGATCTACGTTCACTCCAAGATGATGATCGGTAAGTCTTCCAGCCTTTTCGTTTTCTTTCCACGCTCAAACTTTCACGGTCGAGTCCATAGTCATAGTTTTTGTTCTAGCACACTTGACTGACTAGACTTTCTCGTAACAGTGGACGACGAGTACATCATCGTCGGGTCGGCCAACATCAACCAGCGCTCCATGGACGGCGGCCGCGACTCGGAGATCGCCATGGGAGCGTACCAGCCGTTCCACACGTCTCACCACCACGCTCCTCGCGGCGACGTCCACGGCTTCCGGATGTCGCTGTGGTACGAGCACCTCGGCAAGCTGGACAACGCGTACCTCCACCCCTCGAGCTTGGAGTGCGTGAGGAAGGTGAACGAGCTCGCGGACGAGTACTGGGCGATGTTTGCCGGCGAGGAGGTGGTGGATCTCCCCGGGCATTTGCTGAGCTACCCGATTGGAATCACGACCACTGGAGAGGTTTGCGAGCTTCCGGGGCGATCGCAGTTCCCGGACACCAAGGCCAACATCCTGGGAGCGAAGTCGGATGTTTTGCCACCTATCTTAACGTCTTAGAGTGGTGTGATCTTAGAACTCTATGTTAATTTTAAAAGTCAACTATCGTCAACAGAAGTCAAAGTAAAAAAGTTGACAAGATAATCGACATGTCAATGTAAGTCCTAGCCCTAATGTAGTCAAGTCAAAAAGCCCGAATATACTAGTTGACTTTGACGAAGAGAGTTCTACTTTGAACTGACCAAGATTTTCGGGCAATGCCGGTCAACTTACGATGATATACCTTCTTTAAAGAACGCAGAAGGGAAGATAGTCTCTTCTTCTTCTAGCTGGGCCTCCCTCCAGCGATGGCGGGATTCCTGGCGCTCATCCTCTCCAGCTTATGGGTTCTTCTCCTCTTGGGCGGCTGCCATGGAGAGGAATTGGAATTCGCGACGAGCGTGGACACCTCCGACATCGCGGCTCTCCGCTCCTTCGCCGCCCACATCCGCCACGACCCCAGCGGCGCGCTGCGCTCCTGGCGCCGCGACGAGGAGGCTTGCACCGCCTGGAGCGGCGTGGAGTGCTCGTGGATCCACGGCAGCCAGGGATTCCGCGTCGTCTCCATCCGGCTGCCCAAATCTCTCCTGGAAGGTGAGCTCTCCCCGCGGCTGGGGCTCCTCTCGGAGCTCCGCGTGCTGGATCTGTCCGCCAATCGCCTCTCGGGCCTCATCCCGGACGAGATTGCCCAGCTGCCCAAGCTCCGCTCCATCGATCTCTCCAGCAATCGCCTCGTGGGTCGGATCCCTACTGGGAATGGGAATGGGAATTCCCTGCGCAGCGCCGCGGCATTCGCTGGGAATCCCGGCCTCTGTGGCTGGCCCTTAGATCGCGAGTGTCCTCCATCCTCGATCATCACCACGAAGAAGCACTATTCCAGTGCCCGGCGAGCACTCCTCCAGGACGGCGCTACAGCTCCATCGCCATCGCAATCGCCGACCCCTCCGAGCTCCAATGGCAGCGAAGCTCCATCGCCCAGCGCCGCGGCGGCAGGATCATCCCCGCGGCACAAGGGGCGCAGCAGGGCGCGGCGGTGGGGCATCGGCGCGGCGCTGGGCGTGATCGCCGGCTCGGTCTCGGGCGTGCTCGTGGGCATCATCGCGCGCGCGGGGATCATCGTCTACAAGCGCGCGCGCGCCAAGAACGGCCCCATCATCTTCTTCCACAAGCTCACGCCCAAGATGCTTGCCTTCCTCGATTCCCCGGAGTCCTTCCAGCAAATGCCCCTCCTGGGCGCCGGCGGCGCGGGCAAGGTCTACAAAGCCGTGCTCGAGGGCGGCATGGAGGTGGCGGTCAAGCGAATCCCGATCCAGCCGCCCGAGCCGCCGTCGTCGTCCGATGCCTCGCGATCCAGCGGCAAGGGCAGCTTCGGCAAGCGCCACACGGTCGCCGAGATGGAGACACTTGGCAAGATCCGCCACGTCAACCTCGCGTGGCTCTACGCGTACATACTCAAGCCCGACGCCCACCTCCTCCTCTACCAGTACATGCCGCGCGGTAGCCTCCAGGACGTGCTGGCCCGGGTCCGCGACGGCGCGATGGAGCTCGAGTGGTCCGCGCGGCAGCGGATCGCCACCGGCATGGTCCGCGGGCTTAAGTACCTCCACTACGATTGCAGCCCAAAGATTCTCCACCGCGACCTCAAGACGAGCAACATCTTGCTGGACGAGGAGCTGGAGGCGCACCTGGGCGACTTCGGGCTGGCCAAGGCGCTGCCCGACGGCATGACGCACGTCACGACGCAGGTGGCGGGCACCATCGGGTACATCGCGCCCGAGTACCACCAGACATGCAAGTTCACCGTGAGCAGCGACGTCTACAGCATGGGCATCGTCCTCGGCGTGCTCATCAGCGGCCGCGAGCCCACCGACGAGTTCTTCAAGGATTTCCCCGGCGGCATCGTGCCGTGGATGTGCTACCTCGTCCAGAGCGGCCAGGAGCTCAGGGGGATCGACCCGACACTGCTCAAGCCAGCAGCGCGAGGAGGAGGAGAAGGTGGCGGCGATGATACTCTCGGCCAAACCCCGGGATTTGCGAATCTGGACGAGATAACCGAGATGAAGCGGGCGATGCGAATCGCTTGCTTGTGCACCAAGTTGAATCCGCAGGACCGCCCCTCCACGAAGGACGTGCTCGTCATGCTCAACCCAGGGAAGCTGGAGAACGTCCGTCCCATGGAAGAGCTCCTGCGAGATGGATGAGAGGAGAAAAACTAAACGATACGTACTTGGAAGCTGTGAGCTCAGGAAAGCTTTCATCAACTTTATACGTACGTGGAAGCTGTGAGCTCAAGAAAGCTTTCATTAAAGTGTGGCTTTCCCATTAAGAACAAGTATGAAACAAACATTATATACGTACTTGGTGCCGAGCGAGCTTATTCTTGAACTTCCATCACAAACTTCTCAATGAGAAATCATACCAAGAATTACGTACTTGGTGTGTTGGTCTTCCTTCGATCCGTATCACACCAGTCTGGCGAGACTTCTTCGTCTGCTGTTAAACGTAAACACCCCCTTGAGAACCAGCATGAGCTCTCCGGGCAGCTTTGACCAGATCACGTTGACTAAAGGCCACTGTACACAGTTAAGCTTTTCTTTTACTTAGTCGCCAATCTTCTTTTACTTAGTCTCCTTATACTTGAAGCGATACGCGAATGAAAGATAGAAGAGAAAGTTGACGACGCTGAGCGCTGCCAAGAGCCAAAAGAAGTAGTTAATGTGGCCATGGTTGAGGTTGTCGGCGATCCATCCGGGCTTCCCATCCCTCCGGGTGATCTTGGTAACGATGGTCACCAGCAAGCTCGAGAGGTAGTTCCCCAGCGCCACCGTCGCCAGCGACAGCGCCGAGCCCAAGCTCCGCATGGCGTCGGGCGACTGCTCGTAGAAGAACTCGAGCTGCCCGATGAAGGTGAACACCTCCGACGCCCCGATGATGAAGTACTGGGGGATTTGCCAGAAGATGCTGAGCTGCGCGTTGAGGAGCTTCGGGAAGTTCTTGTCGTCGGCATCCACCAGGCCTTTCTCCCTCGCGACTCGCAGACGCTGGATCTCCAGGACCGCCGCCACCACCATGGAGATCGTGGAGATGACGAGACCGATTCCCATCCTCTGGAGCTGCGTGAATCCCTGTGGATGGCCGGTGTACTTGCGGACGAAGGGGACGAGCAGGCGGTCGTAGATCGGGACCAAGATCAACACGCTGAGCGGGTCAAACATGGAGAGCGATGCCGACGGGACCTTGAAGGTGCCGAGGATGTAGTCCATCTTGAGGCCTTGCACCACGAACAACGTCGACATCTGAGCGTAAACTGTGGAGAAGACGATGACGCTGGCCCAGATAGGAACGATTCGTAGCAGGATCTTCACTTCCTCGACTTGAGTGACCGTGCAAAGATTCCACTTTGTCGTCGGTCTCGACTGGTTCTCGATCGCTGCCTTGTCCAGGAAACTTTCAAACCGAAAGTCACAAGAACTTAGAATGAAGCGAAGCCCGCAAAAAATATATAAGGAGCACTTCTTCACCTGTATTCTGCTGTATGCTGGATTTTTCGGCTCCCTTCGATGGCGGACGCCTTCCCGTCGACCTCGTAGAGCATGGTCTCGTCGGCTGGAAGACGTAGCCTCCAGTTCCGGATGGCTGCGACGATAACTTGAGCGATCCGAGTGAGCGGACTTCCTCCTGGTTTCTGGTGCCTGTACTGCTTGGACCCGATGAAGAAGCCCACAATTGCTATTCCCATTGCTGCTGCCGGTATGCCAAATCCCCAAGCCCAGTTGACGCTTTGCTGGATGTAAACGAGAAAGGTGCTGGCGATCATGGCACCGACGTTGATCGAGAAGTAGAACCAGTTGAAGAAGACAGTCATATACTTCTTCTCCGAGAGGTCTTCGTCGTCAAACTGGTCTGCTCCAAAGGATGAAACGCAAGGCTTGATTCCACCAGTGCCCAGCGCTACCAGATAGAGAGCCAGATAGAATGATCCGATCTGACCAGGCGAGGCCCCAGGACAAACGTCCCCCACACAAGACGGTGGTTTTAACGATGGAACTGACGCTGATAAAGTGAGCAGAACCATTCCCTGTAAGAAAAACAAACTTTTAGCTGCGAAGCTATGAAAGTCGAGAAAGAAGAACTTACCACAAAGTATACAGAAGAGAAGGCAGCGATCGTCCAGTAGCGACCGAGGTAGGCATCGGCCAAGAAAGCTCCTATGAGAGGCGTGATGTCACACGTTCCAGACCAGTTCGTCACATTGGTCGATGCAGTCGCGTTGTGCTGATGGAGTTTGTCGGTCAGAAACACCACCAAGTTTATGGACATTCCATAGTAGGCAAGCCTCTCACAGCATTCGTTTCCTGTTCAAGGCAAGATCAAGCAAGATATCAAACAGTTTCGTTTCTTTGTTGCTCACCCAAGATATAAGGACACGCTTTCCAGCCGCCGGTAGTTCTCCTATCAGCAGGATTGTTCTTCCAATCCACAGTGCCGTCCTTTGTGATGAAGCTCTCTTTCTCCAGATCTCCAGACCAGCCATTTTCAAGATCCTTACAAAGTCGAAAGCACCAATGTGTCTTCCATTCTCCTTAATTTCTTCCAAGAGAAATTCCTCACCTTGGTTGTGCTAGCGTCGGCGACGGTGCTCTCCTCCATGGCTCCCATCCCTTTCCACTCACACAGGAAAATTTGGAACTTTCCAGGGAACTTTAGAACCAGAGTTCCCAGCCTCGATTCTGGTCTAAAGTTTCCTCGATCGCTCATCTGGCGAACCGGACGACACATTTGGCGCCGTATGGCCACGATGAGATGGTGATGCGTCTTTTAATCCTTGCCTGTGGCTCCAATAGTCCAAAAGTCCTCTCCCGGGTCAAACCCACGATCCAGACTCCGGAGTCTCGCCCACGGCATTGGCACCTTTCGACCGATCCACAGGAGCTCAAGGGGATCGACCCGACACTGCTCAAGCCAGCAGCGCGAGGAGGGGAAGAAGGTGGCGGCGATGATACTCTCGGCCAAAACCCGGCATTTAGATAACCGAGATGAAGCGGGCGATGCGAATCGCTTGCTTGTGCACCAAGTTGAATCCACAGGACCCCGCCCCTCCACAAAGGACCATGCTCAACCCAGGGAAGCTGGAGAACGTCCGTCCCATGGAGGAGCTCCTGCGAGATGGATGAGAGAAGCAAAACTAAAATGGAAGCTGTGAGCTCAGGAAAGCTTTCATCATCAACTTTATACGTACGTGGAAGCTGTGAGCTCAAGAAAGCTTTAATTAAAGTGTGGTTTTCCCATTAAGAACAAGTATGAAACAAACATTATATACGTACTTGGTGCCGAGCGAGCTTATTCTTGAACTTTAATCACAAACTTCTCCTGGAAAGGAATGAGAAATCATACAAAGAATTACGTACTTGGTGTGTTGTTCTTCCTTCGTATCAGGGTCCGGCGATCACACCAGTCTGGTGAGGCTTCTTCGTCTCAACCGGGCTGCTGTTAAACGTAAACATCCCCTTGAGTACCAGCATGATCGTCTCCCAGCTCTCCACCAGCGGCAGCAGGATGATCACCACCGAGCCCACGGTCCCCCACACGATGGCGATCACGGCCCAGAACGTGAAGTATTCCAAGCTAAACTCCTTGGCCGGAAGTGACGCCAAGGGCCACAGCACTGCTATCAGCAGAGTGAACCCCACGCCCCACCGAATGATCCACTTTCGAGCGTGTTGCAGCTTCGCTTCGCTGAGTTCCTCCTCCGAAACCTCCGGTTTGTCGTCGACCTCCACCATGGTTATGTTCTTGGTGGTGTCCCAGGTGTAGCTCTCGGGCTGTAAGTAGCTCAGCAAAGCGTGGATAGCACCGCCGGTGAGTATGGACACCAGGTTCCCAGCCAGCATTGGTGCGTTCCTGCCTGTGGTGTCCAAGTTCACGCGTCCATACTCGGCCTTGGTCACTGAAAGCCATGTCGTCACCCCGGCTATACATCCCACTATAGTTCCCGCGATCGCACCCTTCGCGTTGGCCTTGCTCCACAGGAGAAGGAAAGCTATCGGCATCACCGCAGAGCCAACCATGACTCCCATTGCGAGGTACATCCAGCCGAGCGAGACGCCAGCCTTGTTCAGAGCCACGGCTAAAACTCCCATGAAGCATCCAAAGCTGAGAACCACGAGCCTCGAGACCCTCAAGATCTGCTTCCCGGTCGCCTTGGGGTTGATGTATGTCCGGTAGATGTCATACGTGCACAGCGACGACACTGCTACGAGCTCCGAGGATCCCGCGGAGGTGACGGCCCTGGTAGAACACAAACGTAAAAGAGAATGTGTGAGATATAAAGAAGGAAGAGAAGCTACGTACATGAAGAGCATGGTGAGCAGTAGGATGGCACCACTGTTTCCCATGAGAGCAGTGGCCGTAGCCGGCGGCACAAGTCCATGGCCAGCCTCACTTGCCGTGAGTGGAAGATCCAGCGCGAGAGCACCAAGTCCGAGTGACGTTGCCAGCGAGAAAGGGACCGCAAACCAGACCAGGCCTCCCAACAAGTAACCTTTATGAGTTGACGAAGGCCGGGCGGCTATAGCGCTCATCCAGTAGCCCTGTACGGAGTTGACAAATCTCTAGAGGTCAGATAAGGATCTAAATGTCAACTTACGTTGTCAACGAAAACTGTGCCAAAGTTTCCCACGATGTTGATGATCCCAAAAACGAGGCCGCCGGAGCTGAGCATTGTGACATATGACCCGCCATAGTTGCCGCTTACCGGACCACAGGCCTGGCCTGCGTGTGAGAGAGGCTCACTGCAGATTCTCTCCTTGCTCGCGGCTGCCACAAGTTTGCGATAAACATCGCTCGGGCTTCCCAACTTGCTGCTTGACGTGTAGACGAGGTAGACGAATATGACAAGCACGACGTGAACTACAGAGCACAAGCGAGTGTCAAAAACAGATAAGACCAATGAACCGGTCTTACCGATTACAGAGTGAATATAGCTAGCCAGAAACGTTGCTTTCAATCCTCCGGCAAGAGTGTAAACGATCACTCCAAGAGGTATGAGGAAGCTTGCCGCATATATGTCGACTCCCGTAAGAGCATTCACTACTGCGGAGCCACCTAGCAGCAACATTGCCGTGACGATTACATTGGTCAGGAAACAGAAGGAAAGAAACACCATATGAGCTTCAAATCCCCATCTGCAAAACCAGAATCTTGTTTTTTTTTTATCAGCTTCTGATCCTAGCAACTAAAATGGAAAAGTCCACCTTGCGCGCACGATTTCGCAGACCGTGTGAGCCGAAGGAGCTTTTCTTTTTATCTCAATTGCGATGATTCCAAAGAGCAGAACCTGCAAATAGAAAACCATGCTGTGATCTCTCAACCAGTCAACTATCTAGCTTACCTGAATGGTAGCCCCACTGGCATACCAGAACGGGCCACTGACACCGTATTCCCAGGCAACATTCGAGCTTTGCAAGATTGTTGCTGCCCAAGTCCACTAGAACACGAGCAATGAGCACCGAGCTCCAACACTGAATAGTGACGAGCAAGATCCAGACCTGAGAAACGATCACACTCGCAATGAGACCCGTCTTGATGCTTCGACCGGCTGTGTTGAACCACTCGGAGGTGTGCTTGGCTCCAATATACCGCTTCTCCAGCCAAACCTGTGGAATTACGATCAAGACATCAGCCTGGAACTATAATGCACTTCAATAGTTACCAGAAACGAAGTGAAGAACGCAAAAAACGCTCCAAATCCAAGAACAACACCATATCCCACGCCTTGGCTGAGCGAAGGGCGGTTGCCAAAGTAGCTACTCTGGCGCTGGCATTGCCCGTTGACTGTCACATAGTAATCAGCTGCCCATGCTAGAGGCGGACACTGATCGGCCATAACCAATAGGCCCTAGAGAACTTCCTCCCTCTCGAAAACAAGACAATCCAAAAGTCCCGGGAGAATCAAGACTTTTGGGGATCTTTGAATACGTATAATATATAAAGTCCGAGACCAACTGGATCAAAAAAGGTAAAGTTAGTAGTAGATCGAGTAGAAAGAACTCACGAAAATATTTAGCTTTAGCTTCTGCGAGCTCGCCAACTTCTGCTCTTGATGGACGAAACTATGTCGAGCGATCTGTCCATATGATCGCGAGTCTTGCTATGGTGCTTGAGACCTTCCACTGTGAAGCAATCGATCTCACATAACCGGCACCAAGCTGGGCTGACAGAGTTCCTCCCGCGCTCCTGCTAACAAAGCAACAAGCCTCATCACACATCGCCAAGTTGTGAAAGCACTAAGACCACTTACAGGCTCGTGGTATTCCAGGGACGAAGTTGAGAGCTCTGCTGTTCTCGACTTCTTGGATCTGCGGGGCGCTGGCTCGGACTCCAAGGGCGAGTTTAAGCGCCTCCAAAGCTCGGGATCACTGATCACCTTCCTTCGCCCGTGAGGCGATGCTGGCACCGAAACTTTGCAGCCGTGAAGAGCTTCGTGCGGGGAACATCGTTTCGTGCAAGCAGAGCTACCAGGGGAATGCTCGAAGACACGATCTTGACTGGGTGGCATCGTCGGGGGACTGGGGCGTCGACAACAGACGTGCTGCTGCCTCGGAAGAGAAACGGAGCCCGAAACGCTTCCGGAGAAAGTATCTTCGAGCTGAGGACAAAGCTGTGGCGGAAGCTCTCGACGAGAAGGAGCTCCATTCCGCTCGGCGGCGACGCCATTTCGATGCTGGTGGGAATGCGGGCAGCCATACCGATCGGGGGAAAGCTCTTGCTGCAATGGTTGCGATGGATGGAAAAGCTGCTCCCCATACGGCTGTGGCGAGGAGTAGAAGAAAGGACTCGGCTTCACAACCGGCCGTGACGAAAGCTTCAGGCACAGAAAGAACAAAGGTTTGAGAGCGAAAGAACTCCAAGAAAATGGCGAGAGGGAGAGAGCTTCTTACATTGCAGACTTGAAAGTGTTCTTGGACATGGTCGTAAGTCATGTGGCTTCCACAGAGATTGCACCGCACAGGAAGAACGGCGAAGCCCTCTCCGGATGGCCACATAGCTGCGAAGATCAAAGCGCCGATAAGAGAGAGGGGGAAAAAGAAAAACCATTGATTTCAAGCTAGCTGCCGGCGAATCGAGAAAGCAGAGACGAGATATACCTCCGCGCAAGAAAAAATCTCACTGCGAGCACCACCGATTTATACTTCGTAGAGAGATCGCGCCAAGAATCTGCGAAGATCGATGCAATGTAGCGCGCCGATCGCAATCGCCCGTGAGCCGTGACGAGACCGCAAAACCCTAGCTATCGAGAGAGAACGGAGACAAGTTTCATATAAATGCATGGCGGCATGTATACATTAAAGAAAGGATCTTGGTCAATCGCCGAGCTCGCTCTTGTCGACCACCCATGGAGCTATCTCGTGCTCGAGTTGATAGCTTTCACGTAAGCATCACTCTTCTCCTCGTCCACCATAGCCCGAGCAACGATCTTCCTGCTGCCTTTGAGCACCAAAACTTTGCGAGCTCTCGCCCCCAGATCCTCCAAGTGCTGCTGGAGCTCTGCCTCTCGCTGACGCTCGAGCGCGGGGATTCGGCTGAGGTCGCAAGTTTTCCCAGTGAAGTCCTCCTGAGATCACGAAAGCTGGTAGAGAGGGGAACTAACCATCTGGCTTGAGAAAGTTTTTGTTGGTGAAGATGCGGGCGTGCAGATTATATCCGCTGGAACGTCGTACGCACACGAAGTGAGAACTTTCATATGAATGGATATGGTAGCATATAACTCCATACATTAGAGTGGGGGTTATGATGGCTTTCACGTAAGCATCGCGTCCACCATAGCCCGAGCAACGATTTTCCTGCTGGCTTTGAACACGAAAACTTTGCCAGATCCTCCAAGCGCTGCTGGAGCTGCCTCTGGGTGACGCTCGAGTGCGTGGATTCGGCTGAGCTTCACTGGTTGCAAGTTTCTGTAGGTTTCCCCCCTGTAGATCACAAAGAAGCTAAGTAGAGAAGAGAACTATGTTTCTCGCTACTGAGAAAGCTCTCGGGCGTAGCAGCGGCGGAGGATGGAAGGCCGTGGGGATTATATCCACTGGAACGTCGTCGCTTCCCCGCTGGGATCTGCTTCTCGTGAACTGGGACAATGCAAGCGAGCGGTTTCTCTCGATCAGCCGCTCTGAAAGAATTCAGCTGCCATGCTAGATAGAGAACTTCCTTCTCGAAAACCAAAAGTCCCGGTGCTAACGCTCTCCTGCTCATCACAATGAAAACCACTTACAGGCTGCGCCAGAGGTGGGAGCGTGAGGCCGGAAGGGCACGAAAGTCTCGCCCTCTTGGGCGCTTCTCTTCCAAGGGCGAGTTTAAGAAGCCTCTCCAATCCTTCGCTCGCCTGAGGCTCGCCGACCAGATGCAGAAGGTCGCGTAGCTCCGGCGTGCCTACACTTCCATGGGAAGTATGCTCCAAAGGGAAAGGGCCCGGCACAGAAAAGAAAGATTTTGACAAAACGAACAGGAATGGCGATCAGAGTCTTACCTTGCAGATGTTAGCGTGTTGTTGCAGTTGCACCTCGTCGTAGTTCATGGTGCTTCCACAGATATTGCAGCGGACTGAAACAATGGAGAAGGACATCGCTGTGGCGAATCGGAAAGGAGAGAAAATGGAGAAAGAGAGCCAAAGAACCGCCCTCGCCTAAGAGCAAAGCAGAGAAATATCACTGCGAGCGGCATTTTTATACAAGAATCCCGAAGGATCTCAAAGCAAAGCAAACACCAAGAACGCCGAACGATCGTTGACGAGTGAAAAGCCCTACCACCTCTCATCAAAGATTCCAGAACAAAGAGAGAACTTTCGTATAAATGCATGGCGGCATATAGCTCTGTACATTAAAGAAAGGATCTTGGTCAATCGCCAAGAGGTTCTTTCTCTCGCGCTTTGGTTCGAATCGCCGAGGAGTCTCTTCTCGCTCTTATCGACCACCCATCGAGCTGTCTCGTGCTCGCGTTGATAGCTTTCACGTAAGCATCAATCTTCTCCTCGTCCACCATAGCCCGAGCAACGATCTTCCTGCTGGCTTTAAACACCAAAACTTTGCGAGCTGTCACCCCCAGGTCCTCCAAGTGCTGCCGGAGCTGCCTCTCGGTGACGCTCGGGCAGAGCTCCGACAGGAAAATGCAAGGCTCGTCGATGATGGAGGAGCGCTTGAGCTTTGCGAGTGTGAGTGACGGAGCCATTGGGAGTCGCATTTCCTTCTGGAGCGATTTTTTCAGCATTTGGAGAGCATGGATTCGGCTGAGCTTTTCTGGTTGCAAGCTTTCCCAGAAAATTCCTGTAGATCGCAAAGTTGCTAACGAGGAGAAATGGGTTTCTCGTTACCATCTGGCTTGAGAAAGCTTCTGTTGGTGAAGATGGTCCTCTCAGGCGTGCAGATTATATCCGCTGGAACGTCGTAGCACATCATCTTCTCCACTGGGATATCATCCACAAGCTGCTTCTCGTGAACTGGGACAAATGCTAGTTGCTTTTTCGTAAAACGAACACAAATGCAAACCTGTTGTGACCACCGGGGTTGAGCTGTCTATGGCTTCCATGTAGCGAAGCAATGCGTAATTCAAGTCCTCCAGGCCCTGAAAGAGGTAAAGTTGACATTGCATTTTCTCTCTTTCTGTTTTTTGTTTTTCACCTGGCCGTCACCGATACGAGCTCCAGTTTTTGGATCGACAGCCACGGATCCCAGAACAACGAGGTCCACCTCAAATGCTGCCTTTGGACTGAGCTGCAAAGGTTTAGTTGGAAGTCCAAGCTCTACGCGCACCGCAGTTAAACATTTTCGAGAGAAGAACGAGACTACCTTCGTCAGTGAGATCATCCAACTCTTCTTGAGTCATGTCGTTTGGATCGACCTCGGCCAGGAATTCCTTGACAAGCCTTCTGAGACAAGGAACAATAAGCTTCTTCCTCTCTGCAAAGGATAAAAAGGAGTAGTGGCTTTTAGTTTTCTATGGTTGTAAGATACTTACCTCTCAGAGTCATCAGCCTCACGGGTGCCTGCGCGGCCTCTGGGCCAACGTTGACGACCTTGGCATCGCGAAATGCAGATAGCTCTCCTAGCTCAAGAGCACAAAGGGGGAAAAAAATAAGGAAACCAAGTCATCCTCGATTCACAACTCACAAACCTTGTGCGCTGCGATCGCTGCGCCTTCGAAGTTTGGAGTCCTGTTCTTGGGACTCTTGACGACCCTCTGGCCCGCGACCAAATCCCAAACCTTCTTCCGGATTGTCCACTTCCAGGCGTCCTCGGCGCTCGGCCTCTCTGATCTTGGCCTCCTCCCGGAAAAATTTCTGGAAATCGTCAATGCCGGTAGCGCCCACCTGATCTCTCCGCGCGGCGACGAGATCCTCACGCGCATCTCTCCAAGAACCCTTCCTAAAGCCCTAAAAGGACCTAGTTTTGAAAAACAACGCGGGGACCTATTGGAAGTATAAAAGAGTGTCAAATTTCTAAGGAGAAATCCAAGCAAGGACGAGGAGCCCATTAGAGTGCTAGAAAAATTTCCCAATGGAGAGCGGCTGGGACAAGAAAACCACGCTGCCAAGCAAGATCAAGGCCGAAAAGAAACGCCTTCCACCAAGGAGGACGATCAAGAAGGAAGCTCTCGTATCGTTGATAGTTCATCCATTCTTTCGCGTCTTCTACCACTGCAACACTGCTGTGAATCCCTGCGATGACGAGGACGACGATCCAAGTAGATATCTTCGACTTGCTTAGAAGAAACGCGTGCCTCGGATCCTTTGAGCCGCTGCTTGCCGAGCCACCATAGCCGGGTCTGGAGGTGGCTCCTCTTCCTTGGTGTGTTTATCCCTCCTGGCTCTCATGATCCAGCCTTTGAGCTTTGTGTTGTCGATCGCGGTGACGCATTTCTCCACGTCCGTGCCTTGGGCTATCACTGCTCGAGCAACGTTTTTCCCGGTTCCAGTCCTGTAGAGCGACAGCTCCTCCGCCGCTAATCCATGCTGCTCCAAATGTGACTTGAGCTCCTGCTCCGTGAGAGTGGGATTGAGGCTTTTGATGAAAATCGCGGGTCCAGTCTCGATGGGAGCAATGAGCGGTGGATCTGTCTTTGCAGCCATTTCCACAGCGGCCTCTCGCTTCTTCTCGACTGCGTCTTTGAGCTCTCGCAGGACGGGCATCTTGCTGAGCATATGGCGTGGCACACACTCCCATAGAATACCTTGCAGAAAAAAAATCAAAGAGTGACAACGGTAGTGAGGAGATTTGTCACGTTACCATCACTTGGCTTTGGGATTTTAGTCTGGGTGTAGATGGTCCTCTTTGGGGTGCATATAACATCCACTGGAACATCGTACTTGAGGAGCTTGTCTTCCGGAAGATCAATCACAAGCTGGTCATCGTGCACTAAGGAAAAAAATCGGAATTTTAGATAGATCGATTGAAAACCTTCAAGGAAAGGAAAGCGGCCACTCGCCTGTAGTAACCACTAACGTTGATTCGTTGACAATGTTGAGATGACGAAGAATTGCGTATTCCATGTCAAAGTAGCCCTGAAGAGAAAGAAAAGATTATTTTTCCTTTGGAAGATCCATGGATAGTAGCTCACCTCGCCTTTGCCGAGACGAGCTCCAGTTTTTGGATCAACAGCAACAGAGCCAGTGACCAAGAGTTGGACTCTCATTCTTGCGTCGAGTCCAATCGGGATGCCATCCATCTTAAACTCTGCAGGATAAAAGGATCATACTTCTCATTTGATCAAACTCACACCGAAAATCGCAGCACGCACCTGGTTGCTCCAAGGCTTTCATCGTGTCGAAATCGGACAAGTGAACAGGATCCATCATCGTGAACAATCCCTTTGGCAATCGCGAGACGAGAAGCTTTTTCTGGTCTGCAAACCAAGAGAGAGCTTCGTAAGCTTTGCTCTCTGCGAGAGCGAAGAAAGGAAACCATCGAGCAGTCCCACGTAATACTTGTTAATACCATCGCTCGCATTGGCCTTTGTGGAGCATCGGGGCTCACATACAGGCACTGAGCTTCTCGAAATTCCGGGAGCTTTCGGACCTGGATGGAAGAGATGAGCCGCAAAGAAATCGAAATCTACGCGCAAACCTTCTCAGCCGCCGCCTGAGGATCGTCAAACACTGGAAATCGGCGCTGTTTCATCCGGAATGTGTCCCAGACTTGCTGCCGGATCAGCCATTTCCAAGTGTCATGGGGCTCGAAAGAGGAGCTCGAGGAGGTGGAGCTCGAGGACGATGAGCTCCTCGTCCAGGGAATGCGAGGGAGCGGCGCCCGGAGCTTCCTCAGCATTTGGAAATTTTAGGGTTTATGGTGGGTATCTAGGGTTTATGGTGAGCGATGGAAGCTGCGCTGCGCTCCAGGGCTCGGCGGGCGGCGTCGGCGTGCTGGAATCGACTGGCGAGCTCGCGATCGAGCTCCGATGTAGCTGCATTGGCGGAATCCGGCGAGGCCGCTTGGAAATGGGCTGTGAGGAAGAAAGTGTGGAGCTTGTGCGAATCGGGCGTGAGCACAGTGCCAAGGAATCGATATCCCGTCTTCCGTGGTGCAAATGTGGCTGCGTACACGGTAAGTGACGATCCTTTCCTCGTTTCTACGTCGTTCAACTCTTAGTTTTTCTTCTTTGATTGTTGGCTCACAGCTCTCGAGGAAATTGCCCGAGTATCGTGATTCTTTTTGCGTTTGCGTAGGATCCGACACGGTTCTCAAGCCCGTGAGAACCATGCTACTGCGAGGTACCGGGCTCGTAGAAAACCATGGCTTTCGAAAACTTACATTTACGTCGCAGCAAAGAAGAGTGTTCTTATTCCTCACTTGCAAACTGGTACTTTCAGGATGATCAACCCCGCGGCCATGACTACCACGCAGATAGCAGAGGCGTGCATGAAAGGAAGTAAGGCTTCCTTTTTTGCAATGTGATCGACTCGGCTCTAACCAGAGTGTTCCCAGAGTTTGTAAATTTCGGGAGGGACATGAAAATGGATGAATTCGTCATTGTCAACTTCATTGTGGTTGGCTCCGTTGCTGTTGATCCTCAAACTGGTGCAAGGATTGGCAAAGGCGACGTAAGAAAGCTTTTTCGAAAGTGAAATGTTCTTGATACCGAGAATTGGATAACAGGGCCTGGAAGACATGGAATACGTGCTTCTTCGACGCATGAAAATAAACGAGAAAACGCTGGTGGTGACTACAGGTAAATACTAAGTTCTATTCATCGCGAGCTTGTTCTTATTCTTTTCTTTCTCTCTTTTCTCGCTCGCAGTGGACGATAAGCAACTCGTAAGTGACATGCCAATCGAGCTCATGGCAAAACACGACGTTCCTGTGGATGTTATATGCACGCCAACAAGAATCATCTTCACAGGAACGAGCCTCCCAAAGCCAACAGGTGTGTTATAACTCCACAACCTTACGAACAAGATCGTCACCGCTACTTCTATTCCAGAGATCCTTTGGGACAAGCTAACGCTAGAGCGGCTCTACGAACTGGGAGCCGTGCGAGATGTCAAGAACAAGATTGAAAAGGAGACTAGCAAGCTTGTGAAGCTGGCCCCGGCTCAAACTCGGCCGCCACCTCTGAAACGCGACGACGCCGACAGCGATCCCACCATCTTCATCTCGGAGCTCAACCCGACGGTCACGGAGGAGGAGCTCCAGCAGCACCTAAAGCAGCTCGGGGTGAGAGAACCCGTGTCGCTTTTCAAGGCCCGGCAGAAGCTCGTTGCTCGGGTGAGAGTTCCCCAAGGCTCGGACATCGCTCCATCCATCAGCAGCATCGAGGGCAGCGAGCTCAAAGGCTGGCGACTAAAAGCCAGGCAAGATGTCTGGGGTGCGCAGATTTGAGAGACGACGCAAATCATTCAAGGTATTGATTGCTGCTTTCTGGAAAATGTTTTTGAGCGATTGCGTTTGCATGGCAGAGTCACGTAGAGCGTCAGCAGGCCACTGATAATAGACGAAAAACATGTACCTCGTTGACGTACTATGCCGAGAAATCTTTTTTTCCTTCTGGGAAAGTTGACTTCGCGGTGGCCTGACTATTTCCTTGCATCTGTCATCACCTCCCACTAGTGAGCAGTGATTTACCATTCTTTCACTAACCTGCTTTAAGTTCGACGACCATTCACTGCTCCGAAAGATCATGCCTCGATCGCGAGAAGTTCTTTCCCATCTCCGCTCAAACTCCAGCGAGAGCTATGGTCAGCGACTCAAAAGCGTTTTCTCCATCGCCGTTTGCTTCTTCGTGGTACGTGCCGCCGGAGAGGACAGGCCTCTCAGCTCCTTTTGGCGTCCAGTCTTCCCAACTTTCCTGCAGGAACAAGTCCGTGAGAGCTTGAGCAGGATCCAGTCTCAAGTCCAAGACAACCAAAACAATCACCTTGACTTGCGAGGGAATCGGCCAACCAGTGGAGTGAGGTCCGTGGTCACGCCGCTCGAAGACTACGCGCTCTTCTCCATGCAGCTGGGAATCGGCTCACTCCAGAAGAACTTAAGCGCCATCATCGACACGGGGAGCGAGGCCGTGCTAGTCCAGTGCGGGAGCCGCTCCAGGCCTGTCTTCGACCCGGCAGCCTCCCAGAGCTACCGCCAAGTTCCTTGCATCTCGCAACTCTGCCTGGCCGTCCAGCAGCAAACCTCCAATGGCTCGTCCCAGCCCTGCGTGAACTCGTCCGCCACTTGCACGTACTCGCTCTCCTATGGCGACTCGCGAAACTCCACCGGGGACTTCTCGCAGGACGTGATCTTTCTCAACAGCACCAACAGTAGCGGCCAAGCCGTCCAGTTCCGCGACGTTGCCTTTGGCTGTGCTCACAGCCCGCAGGGATTTCTCGTCGACCTCGGCAGCCTCGGCATCGTGGGATTCAACCGAGGTAATCTCTCGCTGCCGTCGCAGCTCAAGGACCGGCTTGGTGGCAGCAAGTTCAGCTACTGTTTCCCATCGCAGCCTTGGCAGCCTCGAGCAACCGGCGTCATCTTTCTCGGTGATTCGGGCCTATCCAAGAGCAAGGTTGGCTACACGCCGCTGCTGGATAACCCGGTCACTCCTGCTCGCTCTCAGCTCTACTACGTCGGCCTCACTTCCATCTCCGTCGACGGCAAGACTCTGGCCATTCCAGAGTCGGCTTTCAAGCTTGACCCGAGCACCGGCGATGGAGGCACAGTCCTCGACTCGGGCACCACCTTCACTCGGGTCGTGGACGACGCCTACACGGCTTTCCGCAACGCTTTCGCCGCCTCCAACCGGTCAGGCTTGCGGAAGAAAGTTGGCGCGGCCGCGGGGTTCGACGACTGCTACAACATCTCGGCTGGCTCGAGCCTTCCCGGCGTGCCGGAGGTGAGGCTGTCGCTGCAGAACAATGTCAGGCTGGAGCTCCGCTTCGAGCATCTGTTCGTGCCGGTCTCGGCTGCCGGCAACGAAGTTACGGTGTGCCTGGCGATCCTAAGCTCCCAGAAAAGTGGTTTTGGCAAGATCAACGTACTGGGAAACTACCAGCAGAGCAATTACCTCGTGGAGTATGACAACGAGAGATCGAGAGTTGGATTCGAGAGAGCCGACTGTAGCGGTGCTGCTGGCTCGTTCCTCGTCCACTCCAAGTTGATCGCGGCGATCGTCCTTGCCATCCTGCTGAATCGTCAGTTGTGAGTGAGTGAGAGGAAGAAAACATTGTACAATAAAAATGATTGGTTTTGAATAAGGAAGCACAAGCTGGATGGAGGAACGAGAAAGAGAGAAGACAAGGAGAAAACAAGCTGGATGAAGGATCGAGCAAGCGAGAACACAAGCTGGATGGAGGAAATAAGAAATTCTTTTGGAGCTAGGATTTTTTTTCGGAAGCACTCACGAGATCTAAGTAGCAACTAGCTCGATTGCTCGAAATACCGTACCTCCAGGGAGCGATCGAGCACCCCGGTTCTACATCGCTCCGCTGCCAAGCGATTTCTTCGTAGGGACCAGTTGATCGCGCACAAGACGAAATCGCAGCGCTTGCTATGCCTGGGAGGATCTCAGCTCCTGGAAATATTTCATTGATTCACCTGATGATCGATCGAGACATTGGAGCAATGGCGGTTCGACCTAAATCCTCCCTTTCTTTCTTTTCATTTTTGAAATTTACGAGGGGCAAGATCTCAGCCGTCGGTGTCGCGTTGGCGCTCTCCAGGCCGTCGGATGGGGGTTTAATTTTAAGAAGGGGAAGGCTCCACCAGAGCCAAGAGCTCAGTGAAAGCACCGCAGGGGCGAGGGAGGAAAGAAGAGGAAATTCTAGGTCGCGCGAATCCAGGCGTCCGGAGCATCCGATTTGCAGCAGGGATCTTCTTTTCCTCCGGATTTTAGGTTTAGGGCTTGGGAGCAGCAGCAGCGATGACGCGGATCTGCGCAGGCTCCCGCAGGTGGATCCAAGAAGAAAGATCCGCCGCGCGGGGACGAGGATTCCATGGCGCCGTGAGGTGAGTGGTGCCCTAGGCTATAGCTCAATGCGCGGGAAGAAGAGTTCTGGGATGAGGATTGTAGATTCAGGATAGATCGAGAATCGAAAAAATTCCTAGGTCGGGCAAAAGACGAAGAAGAAATGGTACGCATTCTTGGCTATAACTCGGGGGCCGAGGCCGAGGAGCCTCGCGAGATCACGAGAACTCCCAGTAGCTCCGGGGACAATGGCTGGCTCATCCGGTTCTTCGATTCGGCCTTTTTCTGCGAATGGATCGCCGTGAGCTATTTGTACAAGCACGAGCACTCCGGGGTCCGGGACTATCTTTGCAACAGGATGTATACGCTGCCCATCACCGGCATTGAGAGCTACCTCTTCCAGCTCTGCTACATGATGATCACCAAGCCGAGCCCCTCGCTGGACAAGTATATCGTGGATATGTGCACCAAGTCCTTGAAGATTGCCGTCAAGGTCCATTGGTTTCTCCTGGCCGAGGCGGAGGATCTAGATGACAACGAAGAGATTCGCAGGCTCCAAGAGAAGTGCCAATTGGCGTCGCTGGCCGGCGACTGGCCGCCGCTGATAAAGCCGCAAAAGGCTATCACCAGTCCCAGCGGTAAGAGTCGCATGTTCAAGCTCCTTTCATCTTCGTCACGAAGGATACTCCCGTTGACATCTTCTCCTATCCAGAAGTCCGCCGCCGTCGCCTCCGCCACCGCTACTGCTGCAGCCGTGAGTGATGATGCACCAGGATCGAAGGCTTCCGCAGGGGTGAAAGGCTCGCAGGAAGAGTCGTCGGAGTCGTCGTACAGGGTCTTCAAGAAGCTGATGCCCGCCACCAAAGTTCGCGACGTGCTGAAAAAGTTCCGGGACAAGGAGGAGGAGGATCCGGATCAGTCCAAGGATGCCGAGCAGGAAAGCTTCTTTCGCAGGCTCTTTCGAGACGATGAACGGGTCGTTCGCAGTGACGAGCTAGCCACGGAGAGTTTCTTCCGGAGGATTTTCCGAGACAAGAGCGATGGAGAGGATCGGGTGAGAGGAAGCGTGGACGAGGACGAGGTGAAAGGCTTGCTTTTCATGTTCAAGAAGATATTCCGGGAGAAGCACGACGATCGGGACAAAACAGACGACGAAGAGAAGATTTGGGATGAAGACGAAGGGTCCGAGTTTTTTCTTTTTAGGAAGTTTTTCCGGGTTCATCCGGAAGAAGAAAGCATCTTCGACAGCGCCACCTTCGGAACCCCGGAGAACAGCCCAGGCGCAGATGGATTTTTTAAGAGATTGTTTCGGGACAAGGACCGCACCGGGGACGAGAGTCGATCGTCTTCTAAAAAGGAAGACCGTAGCAGCCCGAGTTTATTCAAGAGGCTTTTCAAAGACAAGGCCGAGGATTCTGTTGCGACCGAAGATAGCGTCAACTCCGTCTCAAGTCCTGACAACGCGAATGCTTCTGAGGTCTCATCTGATAGTGGCAGAACGGTCTGCTCTCATGTGGAAGTTGGCACTAACGACTCAGAGCAATCTTTTGAGCATAGGATGCCATCCACGAGGCTCGACTTCGAAGACATTGACCAGAGATCAGACAGTAGTACAGACACAGTTGTCTCCGAGAAGCCTACGGTACCTGAGAAAACGTCTGCGTTTGCTGCAGCGCACAAGCTTTTTACGACCGGTGATTGGTCCTTGATGAGCAACGGCAAACCCCAAAATGTAAGCTTCATTCTCTTGTTGCTTGGTTTTCACTGATATAAGAAACGTACAGAAAAGGCCTGGATCTCCAAAACAAAAAACCGAGAGGGGGTCCAGTAAACCGCCGTTGCCAAGGTATTCCTCTTTCCACATTCGAAAGGGAACGTACCATGCCACTTTAGATTTTGTGAGATCGTTATGCGACATAGCATCTGGTTTAGTCGATGTGTTTCCAATGGAAGACCGACGGAAGGCTCTTCACGAGGTATTAAATTGCTAACTTTGTAAGTTGCTCTAATTTTTCTTTTTAATCTTTTCCCAGTCCTTGGCAGAACTGAACAATCATTTGGCAAGTGCGGAGCAAGATGGAGGTTAGCATTTCGACCTTTTCTTTACTTTTAGTTTCTAACGTGACTTAATTATGTTCCCGGTTTCAGGTGTGTGTTTTCCGATGGGGAAGGGTTTGTATCGTGTTGTACACATACCGGAAAACGACGCGGTGTTGATGAACTCGAGGGAAAAGGCTCCGTTCCTTGTTTGCTTTGAGGTTTTGAAATGTGAAACCGAGAGGTATTTCAAAATTTCCGGTTGCCTTTTTCTTATCATGCTTTTTATGCAGCTCTGTCAGGGATAGTAGAGATTCATCAATCAGGCCTCGAGGAGGGATTCCCCTTGCAAATGGAGACGCGCATGTTCAGCGTCCACCTCCTTGGGCTTATCCCGTATGGAACTCTCAACAATCGGGTTCTGAAAATTACTTGCGCAGTGCTTCCCGTGCTATCGATCGAGCCATGGCACACGACTGGGAAACCAACGTCAAAGTTGTCGAGCTGAACTTGCATGTCTTGGAACGGACGGATGATTCCGACAGGGGAGAGAAATGCAACGAGTCTGAATTGGTGCAAGTCAGTTTGCGAGCGGTTGTTGATATGAATATGGAAGATGTCGGAGAGGATTTCACTGCAAAAAGAAAGGATCATCGCCGTGTTCCTAGTACTGTAGCAATGGATGCTGTCAGGGTAAGTCCTTGAGCGTCAACTCTGAGAATATTTGTGATGTTTATTTCTTGTAGGCTGCAGCTGCAAAAGGTGAAGCTCCGCCAGGTCTTCCGCTGAAAGGAAGTGGCACAGTAACGGTAGGAGACTTTGTGTATGGATATGAGATTTACGTGAAACTGAACGCATTCTTGGATTTGTAGGATCAACTCGGCAAATCTTCTGATGTCGTCGGCGGCGAACTATGGGACATCAAAAAGGGAAAGATCAAGAAAACGTCCGTCTTTGGTGGGCTTCCTGGCTGGGATTTACGATCTGTAAGACTTTAACTCTTTTTGTCTCTTATCTGTAGTAAGCTTTTTCTATTTTATAACAGGCTATTGTTAAAAGCGGTGATGATTGCAGGCAAGAGCACTTGGCCGTTCAGCTTGTATCCCATTTCTATGGTAATCCGAACTGCTTTGAGACTTCCGACATCGTGTCAACGTCTTTGTTGTTTGCAGACATTTTTCAGGAAGCTGGCCTTCCTCTATGGTTGCGTCCATATGAGGTTCTAGTGACTTCCTCCAGAGCAGCGCTGATTGAGACGATTCCGGACACTGTAGGTTCTTTTCGTTTTGGTTTGTTTCCTCTACTAATATGCTGCGTTACAGGCTTCCGTTCATGCCATAAAAACGCGAAACACAAGCTTGAGAGAATACTTTTGCAAAAAGTACGACGAGAATTCGCCAGCGTTTAAGCTTGCACAGGTGATTTACCGATGAAGTTTTTCTTGGCGTCCCCCTGATTTCCGTGAATTACGCAGAGGAATTTCGTGGAAAGCATGGCCGGCTATTCGATTCTATGCTACTTTCTTCAGGTATTAATCCTTCTTTGCTTTGCTACTGCTTAAACTAATGAGCGCCGTTGACAGGTGAAGGACAGACACAATGCAAACTTGCTTATCGACGAGGATGGGCACATCGTCCATATTGATTTCGGTTTCATGCTGTCTAATTCTCCTGGTGGAGTTAACTTTGAGAACGCCCCTTTTAAATTGACTCGGGAACAATTAGAGGCAAGTGTCGCTGCTGCTGTTGCACACTTGCGCTTGTACTTGAACGTCTTTTTCCATTGACAGGTGATGGATTCAGACGCAGAAGGGACTGCCAGCGAGTTTTTTGATTATTTCAAGGTGAGTGAGAGCTTGGAAATACAAACACTCGAACGGTTTTTACGTGTTTGTCCTTCCAGGTGTTGTGTATCCAGGGCTTCCTTACGTGTCGGAAGCACGCAGAACGGATAATTCTTCTGGTGGAAATGATGCAGGTAGACGACTAAAAGTTCTATTCGATTCGTCTTGCGAACATTATAATGCCGATTTTTTCTTGCGCAGGATTCGGGATGTCCTTGCTTTCGTGGAGGTCCCAAAACGATCCTGAATTTGAGAAAGCGTTTCCATCTTAGCTTGACTGAGGAGGTGAGTTATCCTAGAACTTTGCAAACTTTGTTTCGTTCTTCTCATGGTCTTTCTTTGTTTGTTCTTGGCAGCAATGTGTCTCCTTGGTCTTGTCGCTCATCAGCAGTAGCTTAGATGCTTGGCGTACTCGGCAGTATGATTACTATCAACGTGTTTTGAATGGAATCCAATAGCTCTCTCTCCCAGATCACTGGCGGATTTTGGTGGTTCTTCTTCTTCTCTCTTTTCCATGTTTCATATAATTTTGGGCCGAGAGCTCACTCTTCTTCTTTTGTGCGCGGGCGTATCATCCAAGGCATTCGTGGATGAATAAGAAAGAGCAAGAAAGCCGACTTGTGGCACCTCTTCTATGTTAATGTAAATATCTGTCCATTTGGTACTAGCGATGGGGGTTTAGGGTTCTATATTTCAATGCGATATGGGTGCGCTGGCGCCTCCTCCCGTGCCCGCCGCTCTCTCCTTTCGCGCTGTCGATCGCGATCCTCCCTCGCAGACCCGGCTCAATGCGGCTGGGAGGTCGCGAATTCCGAGCAACACGGTTTCTTTTCGGCATTGGAATCTCAAATCAGGCATCGCGTTTGCTCGATGTGGAGGGGGCTGCTTGTTCTTGGCGCGCGGGAGGCGATCTCGATCGATATTTTGCTCCCTCAGCGCCGATGAGGTCCTTTTCGCTGATAAAGCTGATGGAAATCCTCCGGCTGACAGGTATGATCGTGAGAAGAATGTGAGGTAGAGATGATGTATGATTGATTGATAGGAGTTTGCTTGAGGATATTGTGGCCAAGGACGGCCTCGCGAAAGAAGTCGCGGTTTTGGCGTTTCCAGCGCTGCTCGGTCAGGCGATTGAGCCGCTGGCGCTTCTTACGGAGACAGCATTTGTAGGAAGGCTAGGTACCTTCGTTATTCCTTTTTCTCTTTCCTCTCTTCTTTCGTTCCTTAGCCGAAAAAACGTTTACAGGAGCGGTGGAGCTAGCTGCTGTTGGAGTTTCGATCTCGGCTTTCAACTACGTCTCTAAGTGCTTCAACATTCCTCTTTTAAGCGTGACAACTTCGTTCGTAGCTGAGGACGATGCTGCTGTTCTCACCGATGATCAGGTGATTTTGCTGTTGTATTTCATAGGCGGGAATATGATGCTAGATTTCAGAGCAGCAGTCCGACGCAAAAAAATACGGCAAACAAGTCCTGCCTGCTGTTTCTTCCGCTCTCGTCCTCGGCTGTGCAATCGGGTTAATCGAAGCGTTGTTACTGGGATGTCAAGGTGGGAGATTGCTTAAACTGATGGGCGTCGCCAAGGTACAACATGAGTTTTTAAGTCTGCTTGCAAGAATTATTTAAATGTTTGTAGGATTCAGTAATGGCACCACCTGCAAGACAGTATCTCGTTTTTCGGGCTCTTGCGGCGCCAGCAGCCGTGCTTTCACTGACATTGCAAGGTATTTTTCGCGGATTGAAGGACACCAAGACGCCTCTCTATGCAACCGGTATGTCACTCGATGAGTTTGTTTACGACTAATTCTCTCTTTTCAGCGATTGCAAGTTTGTCAAACATTGTCCTGGGGGCAACTCTTATATTTGGTCTAAAATTCGGCGTAGTGGGTGCGGCATTTGCATATGGAGCATCACAGTAAGCTTACATTTTGTCGCTTACGTTTTTTTAGCTATTTACGTTTGTCGCTGTAGATATGCGATGATGTTTTATTTGCTGTGGTGCCTTAACAAAAGAGCGATCCTATTACCGCCCAAGCTCAAAGATCTGAAATTTGAGCGCTTTTTGAAAAATGGTATGCTTCATTTACTAGTTTTGCAACTTTGACATTCTCTGTAGGCGGGCTCCTTCTTGGTCGCACTTTATCTATTCTTTCAATAATGACCTTGTCTACGTCGATGGCTACCCGTCAAGGCACCATACCAATGGCAGCTCATCAAGTTTGTATGCAACTTTGGCTTGCTGCGTCGCTACTTTCAGATTCGTTGGCAATAGCTGTCCAGGTAGAAACAATTGGAGTTCAAAATTTCTAAGTAGCTAACCCGTAGCTTTTCAGGCTCTTCTAGCTGGTGCATTTGCAAAGAGAGATTATAGACGGGCTAAACTGGTATCCTATCGTGTCTTGCAAGTATGTCAATCTGCTTGGCTTTTTTTTAATATTTTTTCACCTTTTCTCTTTTCTTACACTTCCGTAGATGGGCTTTTCTTTGGGAATTCTAATGACCACAATCCTCGGTACATCTTCCAGTATTTTATCTAAGCTGTTCACCAGCGATATAGGGGTGCTCAAAGTGATGTCTACGATTATGCCAGTAAGCTTTTCTTCTTTTTTACAAGAGATACATTGTCTGTTTTTGTAGTTCGTTGCTTTGACGCAACCGATCAATTCGCTTGCTTTTGTTTTTGATGGGATTCACTATGGTGCTTCCGATTTCAGATACTCGACATATGCAATGGTAAGATTGTACTTGCTATGTCTACATTTCTATTCTCTTTTTGGCAGATGTCAAACGCACTAGTTTCTTCAGCTGTTTTACTATTGGCTCCTAGGAGGTTCGGACTTCCAGGAGTCTGGATGGGCCTGACGCTTGTCATGGCTTTGCGAGCTGCTGCTGGCTTTTTGAGGTAATTAGATGGTCTTACTACCAGTTTAAAGTTTTTGAGCGATGCAGGCTAACGTTCGCAACGGGACCATGGTCATTTCTGAGAGACAAATGGGAGGAACGAGCCTGAGACAAGTTCCTCTCGTGAGAATGTGAAGAGGCTCTTTTTCCTTTTATTACTTAACGCGCATTTTTTTACGTAACGAACGACTGGCAGTTGCACAAGGAGCCCAGTATGAAGTTTCATGTCATAACATTGCTCGGATTTAGGTTTCTGTTGTCGACCACGATGCAAAGGCTGGACTCCAACTTTGAGGAACAGATGATCGCGAAGGCTATTGAAGACGAGGCTAACTGGGACAAGCTTCCAAAGCGGCTCAAGCTCTATCTTCAATCTAGCGAAGAATGGCACAAAAAGTAAGCTCGTTAATTCTTTGATTCACTAACATTCTTAGCTTTCAGGATAAAAGACTACTGCATCAAAAATCGTTTGAGGTGGAGCGAGTCTCTTGCCAAAAACACTTGCAAGGAAAGTGATTATTACGACGAGCTGATGCGCTATCTTCGTCGAAATTCTGCGGTACATCTCCGTCGTTTTTCTCGATTTCGTTTTTAACTATTGATTCTTGACAGCTCTTTCCATATCATTTATCCGATTACGTCTGCCGTATTCTTCGAGTTTCTCCGTTCCAACACTACTGTGATATGCTCTATGAAGCTTTGAAAGATGGTATGGTTTGCAGCCGAGGTCATCTTCTTTATAACCTTCTTGTCATTTCCATCAGAAAGGCCTTACGATTCTATTCCGAACTTCAGTGCTGCTGATGCGTTGCGGGTGACTGGAATTGGACGCAACGAGTACATAGATGTTCTGAATAAATGCAGAGCAAAGGTAATTCTTTTTATTGTTTTGCATAGACTTTAAATGTCCCTTGCTTCCAGAAAATTATGTGGAGAATTAATAAGTCTTTTGCTAAAGATTTACTGCCTTCTGAGCCGGCCGACATTTGTATTGAAGCTTGGTGGATTATCAACGTTGTGAACCTCTCGCAAGATGAGATAAGGGTGAAGTTCTTCGATTGCACCAATCAGCTAATGAAATTTACAGACGCTCTATCTTACTTTTAGGAACGTTGAATTGTACGTCTATTCAAACAGAAACTCTCAGAAGAGGAGAGCATTCTGGTAGAGAAAGTGTGCGAGGATGATGTTGCTCGGTTTGGAGAGCATGATCCTTTCATTGTACGTGGTCTCTATCGTAGAGGTTTGGTGTATTTTGACGTGCCGGTATCTCCTGACGATCACTTCCAAGGTTGGAAATCACATAGTTCTTTCTTCTGTTGTAATCTGAATTTCCGCAGTCTTAACTTTGGAGGGATTTGTTTCAAACCAGAACCAAAATTACGAGGATCCCACTGAAGAGTAAGAACTTGTTGCTTATTTATTACTGAAACTTATGGCGGTTTTCACTCCAGACTTCTCTACGCAGTTTTCATCACTTCAAGCGAGCATGCTACTATTGCTGAGCTCGCTTCAACATTACAGGCTGACTTTTCCAAGCTGGAAGCAGCCGTGTCTTTAGCCGCTCGTCTTGGCTGGGCAAAGAAAAGAGTTGATCCCGCAGCTCTTCTAAGTGATCCCAACGAGCCAGGGTCTCCATCTTCTGATTTTGGAGACGACGATCCTACAGTTGCTTTAAGCCCTGTTCATCGTCCTTCTGAGAACCAGGGAGAACCGAGTACCAGCGACGCTCCCACGGAACTCCCTGGAGTTGTACGTTTCGCATTCTTGGTGGATGCCGACCTGACCTCTTACCTCATGATGGGATCTCTCTCGCCTGGTAAGCATCAGTGTCAATTTGTTACGTTGATACTTACATCTCTCGTGAAGCAGGGCTGAAAGGTCATGCAGTAACACTTTACGAAGCTGGAAAGTTAGGAGACTCACACGTCATCGAAATGTGTGAAGATTTACGTAAAGTTGAAGGGACCGAGTGTGAAGGCGAACTTCAGCATTTCGCAGACCATGCCTTTAGCTTGCGGCATGCACTGGAGTGCCTCCGTTCTGGCGGCTCGGGCATCCTGGACGATGTCTCGTTTAACAAGGAGAATTTTGACAACACGAAGAAGGTCCGAGTCGACGTTGTTCGCTGTGAGAGCTTGTCCGGGTTGGCAGCGGCAACCATCCAACGAGTCTTCCACCGGGACTACGACGTCATCGTCTCAATGATACCGCTACCATCGCGTCCTGCCGTTATCTCATCAGAGGGAGGCGGACCCGTTCACTTTGGACCTCCTTCACGAGCTGCGACGACACCCTGGATGAAGTTACTCCTGTACAGCGTTGCGGGAGCCGGGCCTGTCTCGGTGGCTTTGATACGGGGGCAGCGACTTCGAATGCTTCCAGAGTCTCTCTCGCGGTGTTACAAGGCGCTGGTGTGGACTTGGGGGGATGGGACTGCTGCTGGAGGACCAGGTGGTAAATTCGAGGGGACTCTGGTAGAAGGCGGAGTTCTCCTTCACGTAGTGAACACTCTCCTCAAACACTCGGCAGTGGTCGTCCAACCTTACTCGAAGGAGTCCTTCCAGGGTGGTGAAAAGGCCGAACTTGTCACAAAGGACATCGCTCTGCCACTCTACAAACCGGACTCTGCCGAAGCTCATGGACAAGCTCTAAGCCAAGCGGTGAAGGAACTCCACCTCAACACCATGGGATTCGTTCGTCTGGTTAGTGTAGTTTCTGAGACCACCACCAGCGGCAGTGGAGCACCGGTCTGGCAGTGGGTTCCTCAGAGCATCGAGTTTGGCCTTCCGCTATTCAACACCGCGCTGTGCAAGCTCGTCTGCGAGGGGGTCGTCAAGTGCGGGCTCTTCGACTCTGATGCTCTTGCTCGGCACGACAGGGAAATGTGGCAGCTCCATTCCAAGCTCCAGGACTTTATAAGCGACTACCAAGCCGATGGCCCAGTGTCGAGGTTGGCTTACTCCGCGGTCCAGGAAACGCCCAGTTTAAGCGAGATGGTTTTGAGTCCCGGGAGCAGTACCGCGCGTTCCATTTCCACGCCGCTGATGAGAAGGCTTCAGTCGGAGAAAGGAAGCATCGATGAGAACACTATGAGGTACTAGCAAGTTTTTCTCTTGTCTAAGAGATGAGAGTTTGTATGCGTGGTCTCTTATAGGATGTATACGCTATCGGCTGGAGAGGACCAATTCTCGCCATCTCCAAAGGGAGCAGTGACGATGTTTGTGGAGCAAGACGAAGACGAGATAGTTCCACTCCCTGGTGTCAATCTCGTGTTTAATGGCTCGTGGCTTGCGGCCTTGGATATCAGTCACTGTTTGCAAGGCAAGCTTCCGGCAAGTTTACTCGTGAGCACTGGCTAGTCTCTGATAGAACCAAAGATCTTTTCTCCTTTAGAGTGACTATGGTGATCGCATTTATACAACCAATACTACATTTCAAAAGAAAATGGAGGGTTTAGGGCTAGGTCAAGCGATGGTGGACGCGGGCGGGGGATTACGAGTCCAGCTCCAGCACGTCGCGGATCCAGTCTTCTCGGCTCTCCAATCCGATCGCAACAGGATTCTGGTGAGTTCTTCGCGATCTCAGCTCAGGCCAATCGGTGGGAAATATTTCCAGGATGTTTTCAAGCAAGCGATCTCGCACTCGTCGCCTGCTGCGGCGGTGGCGCTAGCCACGATGCAGGAGGCGATGAAGCCCCAGAAGCACGCCGTGTTGGTCCAGGACGAGAATCAGCTCCTGGAAAACGCATTGCGCTTGCTGCTCCAAGAACTTGTGGTACGCATCTTCGCCTTACATTGATGTTGTATTTTGTTTTTCTTGGCAGGGCGCTGCTGTGGATGCCGGGGAGCCAGTAATGCAGTATGGGCGTTCTATAGACGACTCGGACAACAGCGGTGGATTGATCACCAGGCTCCTTGGTCGGTTTTTCTCTTCCTCTTTTCTTTCCTGCTCCTTACTTACTGTTCTTGTACCCCCAGATATCGTCTTGTATCTCTGCGAGAAGAGCCATGTTGAGGGAGGCATGGTTTTCCAGCTGTTAGAGGACTTAACAGAAGTATCGACTATCAAAGATTGTAAGGAAGTTTTTGCCTACATCGAGGGGAAACAGGAAGTTCTTGGAAAGGTATGCTTTCTACTTCGTGCGACTGTGTAAGTGAGTTGTGGATGATCCAGACAGAATTGTTTGGGCGGGGGAAACTGGTCATGTTGAGAACTTGCAATCAGTTGCTAAGACGACTTTCAAAGGTTCAGACTGGGCGTTTTTCTTTTCTTCGTGAGGCTAATTTACATATTGCAGGCGAACGATGTTGTATTTTGCGGCCGAATCCTTATGTTTCTTGCACACGTTTTTCCTCTCTATGAACGATCAGGTGATTTTCAAAATTTTAACTTAAGGCCGCAGCTACTTAAATGTGGATTTCAGCTGTAAATATTAAGGGTGTATTCAATACCTCTAACGAAACAAACTATGAGAAAGACCAACCTGACGGTACGCCAACTGATGGTTCCAACCTCATGTTCTGTTTTTTTGTCTTTTTTTTTTCATAGATGTGCCTATTGATTTCAACTTTTACAAGACTTTTTGGGGACTTCAGGTGCAGATTTCTCGTTAAAGTTTTTTTATATCCTCTTATTTTTCCTTCTCAGGAACACTTCTCTAACCCCGCAGCACTGATCCCAAGATGGCATATCTTCTCTGCAAGTTTAACTGTCAGTTCTTTCTGGACTATTGAGTTTGCGCAATGTGACCGAAATTTTTCTTGCAGATTGTTTTGAGCGCCTTTGATGCGCAGCCTTTGGGAGATGATGATAGCACTTCCCACCAGCTTGATGAGGGCGATGACATGACCTTTAATACAAAGTATCTTACCAGTAGTAATTTGATGTCTCTCGAGGTAAGATTCAGCTTATACGTGTACTGTTATAAAGTCTTTGGTAACAGCTTAAAGATCCCAGTTTTAGGAGACATGTACTTGTACAGTGCCTGATTGTTTTTGACTATTTGAAGGTAAGCTCAAAACAATATGCATCTTGTCCGACTAATAATTTGATTTATACAGACACCCGGTAAAACGGAAAAAGAAGCAGCAAGAGAAAGTCTGGTATATTTCCATAATTTTTCATTAAGGGTATTCAATTTTTTTTCTCGCAGAAAGATGAAGTAAAGGTTTTGGAAGATCGCGTGAAGCGTCTTTTAGAATCTACTCCTCCTAAAGGAAAAGATTTCTTGAAGAGCATTGAGCATTTACTTGAACGTGAAAAAAACTGGGTAAGCAAGTTATTGTTTACGAGTAAAGTCAGCTCATGCACTGTTTTGGCGTAGGTCTGGTGGAAACGCGATGGTTGCCCACCATTTGAAAAAAACGTTTCTGAACGCAAATCGTCTATTGAAGGGACTAAAAAGAGGTCTGCGAGAAGTTCCTGTTACTCTCACTAAATAAAACTCTACCTCAGGAAGCAGCGATGGAGGTTGGGAAACAAGGAACTCTCACAGCTGTGGAAATGGGCGGATCAAAATCCTGTATGTGTCACTCGAGTTTAATATACAGTTCTGACGTTGCATGTTGCAGAATGCTCTGACTGATCCACAGCGAGTGAAGACGCCTCCAGTTCACGAGTATTGGACTGCTTTGGCTGAGGATGTAAGCAGCTTTCAAACTTTGTCCGGGTTTAGATAATGCCTGACTATCTGCAGATGGATCCTATGTCTGGTATTGAAGCGGAATACAGTCACAAAAACGATAAGGTATACCTCCGTGAAGAAGGAAACTTTCGTAATAGTGGCATTCTATTCAGGTCTACTGTTGGAAAGGCTTAAGATTCTCAGCAAGGCAGGATTTGGAAGGATTTGCAAGGGTATGCAGTATGCATGTTCTATTTTTTCTCTCTAATCCTTCCTCTTTTACCTGGTCAGTTCACTGAGCTAGGAATCGAAGGTGTTGTGCCGCCTGAGCTACTTACCCAGGAAGTTCGGCTTAAAGTTCATGGGAAGTCGGACAAGTCAAAGCAAAAGGCAGCAAAGAAAGGGGACGACGCCGCAACAGTTCCTCCTTCGGAAGAAAATCAGGTTCTTTCGACACTTCAGTTTAAACGAATGGAAGCGACCTTTTTTTAATTGCAGAATGGGAGTGTAGCTGTTGACGATGGAGGTGCCGCACAAGATGTTGACGACGTGATTCCGATGGACTCGGATGTCGCAGGAGCCAAAGAAGAAGAATCTCAAGACGACCTCGAGAGGCAGGGATCGGACCACGAGCCGCTGGAGGGCTTTCCTTCCACTCAAGACATTTCTCCGGATCCTCCGGCCGCCATGGACAATGATTCACCTGGAGCTAGAAGTCCGGGGGAGGGCCAGAGGTACTTCAAGAAGCATTCCCACCCGGAAGGCGACTAAAAACTGCTACATCTCGGCACACTAGAGCTACATTTTGACGCGAGAAGCCGGTATTAAATGACCGCCCGGCTTGCACCAACCTTTCAGAAGTTCCGGCAAATCATGCAGCTATGGCGACTCCTATCCCCGCTGGTGCTGAATCTCTTTTTCACGTCAAGGCATGGATCGTCGAATGGAGACGTGCTTTCTCTAAGCGCTGCAAACTCCGTACGTATTCTCCATTTCTTTTTTCTTCTTTTCCATCGTGTGCTTTGATTTAATCGGCTTGTCGTCCTTGGCTTGCAGAACTGTATTTGTACTTTTCAAGTGCTGGATCATGGATGGACGCTGTTATGGAGTGTTGAGATACCGCATCCCTGTGTAAGCCGAGCTTCTCTGGAATTTCTTAGTTATTTTCTTAACTTGACTTTACATGTCTCACTTTTGTTTTTCTCCTTTCTCTTTTGTTCGCTCGTCCGTGGGTTGCCAGAGCTAGCTGTGTCGTTGACAAGAGTTTCGCTCCGGTCGCGCAAGATCCAAAAGCTCTCCAGCGTAAAGCTGGCTAGCGATCGCTTTCGAGCGAAGTGATCTTCGCTAGGATGGTCCGAGCAAAGGAGAAGACCAAGAAGAAGGAATTACTCTCAGCTTTGCTCCTTCACATCATACATCCTTTGTGGGTGGGACAAGACGTTGGAGCTAAGCTGCCATACAGAGAGAATGGATGCGGCGTGTGACGAAATGGAGCACTATGGAGAGCTTCATGGCTCTTTCTCGGGGCCAAGAAGAAGAAAGTGGTCAAGTTGCCCGTTTCTCTTGGACGATATACACCATAGGAATGATGGAATGGGAAAGTTTTTCAAGTGGAGTCAGGATGGCCGAGTTGGTCTAAGGCGCTAGTTTCAGGTACTAGTCCGCAAGGGCATGGGTTCGAATCCCATTCCTGACAATATTGCTTTTTCCCTCTTTTGCTGGTTTTTTTGAAAAAAAATTTGTTGTACCTTAGCCCAGAATTGGTGGCTTTTTTTTCTTCAATGTAGCGGATCATCAAAGTTTTGTCATACACAAACACATGATCTATCTTTTATTAAAATCATGGCTGGCTGGTGTACATGGTCTTTGGCTTGAAGGGCTGCGCTTCTAGAAGTCCTCGAGGGATGAAAATCGCCAGGGACGACACTGCCAAAGTCATTGTTTCGTCCTTGTTAAACTTCTAGTCCATCCACCCCGCCCGCCCGCCCCGCCGTGTTCTTGGCTCGTCAGACAAACGCAAGCGCGATGCAAAGATCTTGGCGGGGTCTCGAAATGATTTCAATGATTTCGTTTCGTCTCGGTGGTGGAGGGACAAATCAATCACTTCCAATCGACCGGACGCTGTCGATCGGGATCGAGATCCATCCGCGCACGCCAGTGTGTTTGATCCTCCTAGATTGACCGGACACCACCACGCCACCACCGCAACACCGCCATCTCCATCTCCAATCCAGCTGCGAGCCACGATCGAGAGCAAAAAATTCGACCCACTGGCTGGAGTGGACCACGCCAACTCGCCAAGGGACCATTCCAGGGTGCGTTGACTGGAACTCTTCCGGCGCATCGCCCAGTAGTACTCTAGTTCCTAGGGGTTTGACCACAGCCGGCAAAGTCAACGACCAGCCAATTCTAGAATCCGCATATTCGCGGCATTTACGAAGCCAACACCGTCAAAGCGGCGCGTTCCTCTTCACACAAGAGCAAAGGTGCGTTGCTTTTCTTTTCTTTTTTTCCTCCTCCTCTTCTTCTCCACCTCTTCTAAAACCTATTTCTATGAGCGTTCCAACGGAGGGCTCAATTCTCCGCCTCTCCTGGAGCTCGAATTCGCGATCGAGCTCGATTCTCCTCCACCACTGCATGGGCGCTTTAGGCAGATCCACTCGATCGCTATTCCCAGGGATTGGAAGCTCCTGGCTAGGCTAGACCCTCAAAAGGAAGTGAGTGGAGGAGCTCGGACTCCACCTCGGACACCGGGCAAACCGACCTCGGGCACCCGGCTACGCGCTTTTGCTTAACATTCTTTCTTTTATCTTTGCTTTGGT